ATATGAAACATACATCTAATGTAATTATTGAACGTTAATCAATGAACTAAAAACTGTGTACGTCACTGAATGAAGCGAATTGATTAATCTATCCGTTAACCTCCAGTGGCAAATACGTTATTCACATTAAGTTTAGACGCAAAGTTGATTGAATGGGAACACACTTTTAAGTAGACATGAATTATCATTCATATTTTCATATCTATAAATTAACTGTTAACAAAACTTTAAATTGTTCGAAATACTATGGATGTTTTATCCCAGGAATATCTTACCTTAGATGTTTTTGGCAAAACATTTTGGAATTATTGGTTCTCCATACTATTTAAACTTCATACTTTATTTGGCCTTTTAACTTTTTTGATTCCAGCATGTTCTTAATCTGCATCAGGATGACAAAAACTATTCACCAGACCTTTTTCACATATCATCCGTAGTTCATTGAAAGAGCGATAACAAGCAAAGATCGAAATTAAGAATATGAATACTTTTAAATAGGAGAGTTGTCTCATTGGCACTCATACCACATCTTATTATATCTTTTAACCTTTGATATGGTAAATACAATTCTAGGTTCTGATTCATGAACCTTAAATTCAAGATCCCTCGGACATAGCGGATAACAAAAAATGAGGAACTACAATACTCCGCTTTTGAAAATGGCAAAGAGGGATAACTCTAATAAGATGACACGTTATCGCTTCGATAAAAAAACATTCAGCGGGTTTACAAATAATTAAGAAAAAGAAAAATCAGTTTTAGAGCAATTAACACTTGCAAAAGAAGAAGATAAAAATCATATCATCAAAACAAAATGAAGAGGTGTTTCCATAGAAAGGTGAAAAACAATTATAAAATAAATATGATAATCAGATCCTAATCAAAAAATCTTTCTACAAAAAGTTGGAAAATCCTTGCAAGATTTGATAGTATTTCCGTTTCGTGTTGCATGTTCATTTTAAGTAGAGTTTTGGTATTAATAATAAAATGCAAGGATTTAGATACCCCTCAAAAATGATATTACATCTTTACTTATAAATGTTCTAGAGCTAATTGAATATGTGCGTTACATGTATTTTGTTAAATGAGAAATATATGAATGGGTCACCATATTCCAATGAAATATGCATATTGGTTAAAGACTTCGCAACGCATCAATATATAAAGAAATATAATGTCGAGACACCGCGTGATCTTTATCCCTCCAATTTTCCACTCTACATTATCATAGATTCTATGTTCATTTGTCTCCTACAGCTTGACAAATTTGACAATTTTAAGTTTTGAAACATCTACTGCTTTTGAAGTTTGATTGAACGAATATTTTTGAGTAATATCTAAGATTAAAGACATTTGAATAAATATGTGACAATAAATCAACCTTACCCATTTTGTCATTGTTTACTATTGAGTTTGAAGGTGCAGTTCAAGCTGATGTTGCTGGAATTCAAACATCCGTACATGTACATTTTGGCAGTTTATATGTTACCATATATAACAATAATCGCAATACACAGCTTTGTATTCAGCTGAAACTGCTCTTTTGCATGTACCACATGTAGCCATCTTGGAGTTCTGAACTCAAAAGTAATAAACTTATAGCGTATGCCGCAATTTTTATGTTGAAAAGCATTGTGGATTATTACTTTTAGACGATTTTTCAATTTCACATGGGGAATGGTGGCATACAGGGTTGAAAAATCAAAAGTTTTGATAGAACTAATTTCAGAAAAGATCGAGATTTAAAATTATCCAGAAGTTCTTTAGAACTTTTTAAAATCCACATATGGTTAATACCACTACGCGAGTATACAGTTTCACATTATTTCTGAAGACCCTCTTTCACTGCGGACAGAATTTTTGTCAATCTTATGGACACTTCTTTAGTTAAACGTGCAGATGAGCCGGAAATGTACCGTTGTTTGTACGGAATTTTGTGGAGCTTAGGTATCCAATACAAACAAGGCAAGTCCTCCGATTTGTTGTTCAATGTAATGTTCTTTGAAGCCATGAAGGACTTAAGATTCGCCAAAATCTCATCCTTGTCAAATAATATGTTTTTGTATGTGGGATTAACTGAGTGCTCATTTATTCCTAATTCTTTTACAAGACACTCGTAGTAGTACAATTTACATACAAAGATAATATTTGAAATATATAAAGCATTTGAACTTTTATGAAAAAGACTATTTATGAAAATTATCTCCCCATAATGATGCAATGTTGGGAAAATTATCCAGAGTTACCTTACATTAATCACAGAGAGGGGCTAGCAAACAATTTTTAATTTGAGCTTAATTAACGTTAAAACAATTTTCTACAAAAAAATGAATGTTCCATTATTCAATTATAAAGACTTAGTTACCCATATCTTCTAAATTAAATTTTATTTGATATTATGAATTTTGATGACAATAGATAAACATGCTATATCTATTTATCAATGTCTGTCGATCTCTGTTCTCACGACATAATACAAAATAATTGATGATAATATCGATTTACTTTAAATCTAACGTTGTCACAGTCAAACACTACCCCACGAATTGGAACTGCTTTCCTTTTATTTAAATACATTGCATGAATTTTGTGTGTTTTGTTAACATTATTACCCCTGAGCCCAATTTCAAATTACAATTGTATTTTAACATGTTTAAAGGTATTATTAAACAACAAGACCTTTATTTTATATGTTGCCCTAAGCACAGGTAAACTTTGTACACGTCATTGTGTAGTCAATAAATGCACAGGTTTTGTAGTGTATTACCGGAACGTATCATAATTCAAAGGTAGGAAATATGTTATATATATTCATCAAATTTGTAAAAGTGTCCCACTTAAGAACGAAAAAAATTACTTTCAATCTTTATCAAACCATTTTGTTCTACTGAATGGAAAATTATTGGTATTTCTAACTTCCTGTGAACGATTTTATTTTCACAGAACACATTCTGTTTCAGTTTGAATGTTCACAGGTGCCTAGAGGTAACTTCTATAAATAAAGCAATTCTGTGTAGTAATATTATGGGTCTAAACATAAACTAATGGTTATAAAAATTAAACTATCGGAGAGCTCGTGTAACTACAAATTCATTAACGACACAAGCAACTTGTTTGTATCGTGAATTGCAGAAACTTTAGTTTAACTTAGTCCTTTAAATTATAGTATATTTTTTAGTTGTAAGACATGTTTGCTTCATACATTTAAGAAGGTAACATATATTTATTCAGGAAATATACACAGCCAAATTTTGCTCACGTGAGTTTCACGTGAATCTCATTTCACGTGAATTTCACATGAATTTCACATGAATTTCACATGAATTTCACGTTAATTTCACGTGAAGTGATTTCACGTGAAATTCACGTTAAATTTTCACGTGAAATTATTTCACGTGAATTTCACGTAAAACATTTCATGTGAATTTCACGTGAAAAAATATAAATGGTGTCTAAGTTAAAAAAAAATAACCGAAAATCAAACATTTTGTCAACCTCTAATATCTTGTATTATATGTATCATATATTCCATGGAAATCTTAATTTAATTTGAAAAATTCTATTTTCACGTGAAATTCACGTGAATATTTCACGTGAAATTCATGTGAGTATTTCACGTGAGTATTTCACGTGAAATTCACGTGAATATTTCACGTCAAATTCATGTGAATATTTCATGATATATTCACATGAAAAATTTCACGTTAAATTCACGTGAACAATTTCACATGAAATTAACATGAATCAAAACTCATGTGAAAATGTTATGTTTCATTTTATCTGAATTAAACCATGAATTCATAAGAGAAATTTAACTTTATTGAGTTAAATTTTTGTAACATGAGAAACAAATTCACCTGAATTTTGCTATTATTCATTCCAATTTTCTTTTTGCAAAATTGAATCATTTTAAAAACTGTTATTCTTTGTCTCTCAAGATTTACACATTTGGACATACAATCATTGTAAATGATAAATATTTATCTTTTTGTTAAGCATGAATTATCTCCCTTGATAGTGGGTTAGATGCAACTACAAAAACATGTTGGTTTTGAATTATATTTTCTATCACTGTTTATATTTATCTCTAGTAGAGTCATTAGGATGGAATTTTGTATACATGTGTATCTCTTATTTCAAATTCCTAGATGCCTATATTATATTGATGGACTAATTTGATTTACTAGTAATATTTCTATAATTATTAAGTAGTAAATTTAATTACTTTCACACATCTTATGTCTTCTTTACTTTTATACTTTTAAAAAATGTGGGAGGTAACTCCAACTTATGAAATAGATTACTGTTACTGTAATAGATTCTTTACTTCCCATTATTGCAAAGAAAAAAAGGATAATATATATCATATATATATCATTAACTTCCAAACATGAGTTATCTCCCTTTTTTACTGTGCATAAAACTTTTCCTCAAACTTATAAGTCAAGAAAATTTGTGAGCATTGAATCGCACATAAGTTTAACATTAGGACATATATGAATAAAAACTAGTAAGAATACAGAAAAGAATTTTATATGTACTAAATTTTGTCAATAAATGTAAATTTGAATGTTTATCAATTTTTTAAGTATATTGAAAGTGCAGTATAAAATTTTTTGTATTGCTTTTTATAACATGACATCTATACAAGAAGCAAATTTTGTTTATAATCTTTGAAATTGAAAGATTGCATGATCAATTGTTGCACTGGGACACATTTTAAAATTACAAAACAATTTTACGTCCCTGTATTCTTAGATTAATGTTTTTATTCAGAAAAAATGAATGGTTACATCAAGGAATTGTATATTTAAATATACAATTCCTTGGTTACATTTACACTTTATTATTAAAAAAAACTTACATTCTTTAAGCTTTAATAAATGTGTGGTAAATGATTGCCAATTAGACAAGGCTTGCTCATTGAATTAAGGTTAAACATTTTACTTTTGTATAGATATATATATATATATTCTTTTACACAATGAAATCACAGTCATAATTGAAATTATATTTATTATATTTTATCTGGGACTATTATACTAAGTTAGTATAATAGTCCCAGATTTTATAAATATATATATTAAATAGTTGTAAGGGTTTAATTAACTAACAGCTCCATGTGGAGGTGCTCCTATGTAAAGGATGCTTATTAACAAAATAATTTGTTATATGTTCCAAGGATTTGTATAGTAGGAATGGGGGAACTAGCAGGTACCTATTTTTCACTTTTCACATGGAGAAATACTTTGAACATCAGATCAGGACAATATCCGTGAATCTCTCGTCCGGAGTCGGGTTTTTTTAAAACGCTTGAAAGATACAGATTATGACGCGTCTTAAAGAGAAGAACGCCGTCAGCCGATTATCAACAACAGTACTTGTTTCAGTTAATTTAACAAGACAAACAATACCAAGGAGCTATGAATCAATGAATACTCGAGGATGTACTACAGGTAACTCAAACAAATGATTTAATAGTGCAGGAATAAACAGAAATCTGCAATGACTGAATGAGAATGGTTTTCATCTTCGATTTTGGTATCGTTTTCGTTCGCTCCCAAATAATTTTTATACACGTTCGCCCCATAGGACCTAACGCATCTAATTTCAAATTCCAGTTGAATTGTAAGTTATTTTATTATTTGTATACAGTAACGTAGCTTGCATTCTGTTATTCACGAAGTCAAGGGGTCTTAAGCTATCGATTTTTTTTAACAATTTGAACAAACTAAAGTTAAACTACCAACTTATTAGTTCATTACCTGCTTATAATTTTTCAATGTTCATATGGATACTTAAATCTTTTAAGACGCATTCATGATTTAGTTTCTCATATCGAATTCTTTAAGTGTCGCAACTTCCCAGATAATGGCAGATCAAAAAATATTTATGAATAATGCCATTAATGGAGATGGATATGTCAAATTCTGACTGAGTCTTATACAGTATAAATTTGTCACTTCTTTTTTTATTTGTGTATGATTCAAATCATACGTATTACTATCTTATCTATGATTAACTCAAAAGTTATATAGATAACAAACACTTGGCTGACTTGCAGTTATCACATACATGACACAAGACAATCACTGACAAGTTTCCGGACTTGCTAGCAGTAACTGAAAGCCAGATCAAATACTATGTACCTAATCTGTTGTACAAAATGTACACTCTAATACTGGTCACGTGGCTGTACCTCACTTTGACATTAGATTTAACGTCATATCAGAAGCAACACAATTGACTTGAATTGTGTCAATTTTTTTTATTCCAGCATATTTAGATTACAGAAAACTACAAATGGTATAAATCAATAATGACAACAAAACGATACAGTATAAAAAAGAAGATGTGGAATGATTGCCAATGAGAATGCTACAGGTCACTGTACAGCATGGCCAACTATTATCCTCAGTGTAAGCCAGTACAAGTTATCGGGCATGATTTTAATTTCTTATCCGTCTGATCAGTCTTTTCTGTGTGTGATATCTTATCAAGACAACATGCTGAGTTTGTAAAGACAATGTTGACACTCGTTAATAATTTGACAACACTAAGTAAACAATATTATAACCATATGACATTGTAGCATGCTAGGTTCCACATGAATACGAGTTGTATAAACTGACTTTATTTCCCAAAGATAAAATTCTATTTTACCGAATATCAAACATACAAAATAAAAAGTCGAAAAAGGACAAATACGAGATTATGATAACCAAACATATATACATGTACATGTATATATATCTATCATTAAATCGTTGGCTTGTTATAGTTTATAAAAGCACTTACATAAAATTAAAATTGTTCTTTAACAATTTCAAAAGCAAGAGGGTTGTAATTGTGAGGTTATATTATATTAGATATAATATTCTTGATTTCAGTAACATCATTTTTAGAGAAGTATGCAATGAGTTGACAATCAAAATATGGATAGATGTAATTCATGTAATAACAAAATACATAATCGAAAAATGATTCACTATAGTCATCAATAGAAATGTTCACACGATGTTGTTCGATTTTGATATATCTTAAACCTTTCTTTCGACGTAAATCCGAATATGAGACAACGTAGATTTTTATCTTGTTTTACATAAAGAAAGTCCCACAGAAAAAGTGTATACAATAATGTTCAGAGTATAATATAAAAAAAGGGGGGGGGGGGGGGGGGAGTACCCTGCCCAGATAATAATATAACTGATATGTAAAGGAAAGTTTTAACCACAGATTTGAACTTGACAATTTTATCTGAAATTCACACCAGGTGACCAAATACATGTTGAAATTTGTGAACTTTACACGGATATCTTTAGAAAACATGCTAATCGAAACAACAGGGGTCGCAGGCATCTGTTTTCAATTATAATTCTGAATTTTAACGATTCCAATTATCTTATTCATTTGATAAATTAAAAATTTCAAATTCTGCAAATACATGTACAAAAAATGTACAATATACATTTTTTTTTTTTATAAATTTTGTAAATGTAAGAAGATGTGGTATGAGTGCCAATGAGACAGCTCTCCGTAAACTTTACATTAACAGAAAAATAATTAAAATAAGTTTCCTTTTTAATAAATATTTTACATAAATGTTCAATTGCAAAATTAAAATTTTTTTCATGATAGAATCTTTTGAAAGGACGGAGACAAATTAAAAATAATATTTATTTTGTTCAATGCGATTTATTTTTCTAAAAGTTAAGTGTATAAAAGGAGAATGTGCATCAAACAAGCAATAGACTAGTAAATTCACATGTACATGTATGTATCTAAAATTTTGTTTCTTAAGGTAGATAGGGTGTCTTCCTCCATCTTGAATTTTGAAATACCAGAAAACAATCGGTCTAGATCTTTAATAAAAGGTGCAAATTTTGAGAGTAGTAGGTAATTCATGTGTAAGAATTTTCATTTCAATATAGAAAATGACCTATTTTATCATATTTATGGTTGTATTTTACAAAAAAACAGAATACTTTTGTTTGATTCTATTTTTTCCAACTTTGCCATATAAGGGGAGGCAACTCAAATGTAAGGGCAGATAATTCAGATAAAGTTACTTTTACAATAGAATGTGTTAGGAATTTACCTATTTTATTATGTAGCAAGAAAACGGGTCCCATGACCCCATTTTTTATTTTTCTTATCTGAAAGCATACTATTAGAGCTATCTTCACATATTTTATCTCAAAATTCTATGGTGTAGTTTTCGTTTTATGGCAGAAAATTGGGTTTTCCATGCATAATCATTACAAAATCTGTCAATTTTGCACAACCTGTAGCGTGAAAATAAGCCCCGTGTCCCATTCTTTTTATTATTTTTTTTTAAAAAGCATGATATAAACTACATTTTGGCAAATTATTAAAAAAATTCTATGGATTATAATTTAGACACCCCATCTTCCTTAAACTGTTAAAATATTTTAGTTCAATTTATTTCAATTTTAAGCGATTGTCGTTTTGTAATCTTTAAATTAGCATTACTACATACAAATATTTTCGTATATAGTCCACACTGGCACATATGCTGCCCTTGTCTTATTCTTTTAAGACTTTGGCAATTGGTTTATCTTGGAGAATATTTTTTTTTTCTCATTTGAAACTTTTGTGCATTGAAATTTACAATTTATAAAGTAAACTTGAAAAGAAAGAGGCTATTAAACATTGTTAAACCGTCAAAGAAAAAAAAACACAAACAACTCATGTCTACTGAGAATAACAGAAGTTATCACATTGTCATGTGTTAATTATTTATCCATGAATATTATATTTACCTGGTTTGACTTAGATTATTTCTGGTCAACTTCAAAAAATGATCGCATCTCGATTTTTGAATAAAAAAATTGTAAAATATGAAATTTATATCGTTGGATAGATTTAAAACCAGAGAATAAATATACATGCGAATGAAGCTGTTTCTAATAAAGATTTTATGTCAATTCATTAAAGAAAACCCATGTGCACACATTTTTGGTTTCGTATTGTATGAAGTACAATGTAATAGGTCGTGCACCCGGTGTTCTTTAATTGAAAAAGGCCCTAACTTCTGCAATCCTTATCAAAATACAAATTAGATCTGTAGAAAGCTTATAAATTGAACTTTCAAAATTGATGCCAATGAAAAAGAAATTTAATGATATTTACAGACAGCTAATCAAAATTTCAGATTTCCTTTAACAATCTATAGTAAATTTATCGATATCGATTGTGGTCAAATTTGACACATGCGCAAAGCGGGTGCTGATAATAGTTGCGTATGGCCTTCAACAATGAGCAAAGCCCATACCACAAACCCAGCTATAAAAGGCCCCAAAATCACAAATGTAAAACATTCAAACAAGAAAACTAATGGCATAATTAATGTATAAAAAATTGAACGCTTAAAACAAATATATATGTAACAAAGCAACAAAGGACAACCACTGAATTAATATTACAGGCTCAGAGTCCTGACTTGGGACAGGCACATATATACAGAATGTGGCGGGGTTAAACATGTTAGGGGAATCCAAACCCTCGCCCTTATATATAGAATAGAATAGAATATTTTTATTCACCAAATTAGGGCCCCAGAAGGGCATATAGCAAACAAACAATATTATTATAAACAATAATATTTAGATATGTATACATTATGACAAGTTCACAGATCAAGTTCAATATATATTCTGTTCAGAAAAAATAACTTAAGTTGTTTTAATTTTGCAGAGCTACATTCACGCAAACAATCAGTTTTTCACTTTCATTTTTATACTACCGCAAAAAATTAAAAAATTTTGCGGTCGTATATTGGTATGAAGTTGGCGTCGTCGTCTTCGTCCGAAGACACATTGGTTTTCGCACAATAACTTTAGTTCAAGTGAATGGATCTCTATGAAATTTTACCATAAGGTTTGATACCACAAAAGGAAGGTTGGGATTGATTTTGGGGGTTATGGTACCAACAGTTAAGGAATTAGGGGCCAAAAATAAGCATTTTTGTAACTTCCAGACAATAACTTGTGTGTTAGTGTATGGATCTCTCTGACATTGTACCACAAGGTTCCATATCACAAAGGGAATGCTGGGATTGATTTTGGGGGTAATGCCTCAAAATTTTAGGCGAGTCCCCTGGGGTCACCCCCACCCCCTTCTTTTTGAAAACTTGTAAAGGGTCAAGATCTCCGAAACCATATATATTCTTGTATGGGACAATAAAACAAATCAAATGAAATCCATGGGGTATTAGGCGAGTCCCTTTGGGTCACCCCCACCCCCCTCCTGTTTAAGAACTTGTAAACGGTCGAGCTTTTCATTATTAATAAGATAATACCACATTGAGGTCCAAAGGGTCCTAAATTAAACTTTTGTTTAATTTCATCAAAAATTGAATTCTTTGGTTCTTTGATATGCTGATTCTAACAATGTTTGAGTGTTAAATCATATCTAATTTTAGAGAACTTATATTAATTAGTCATCACTGGTTGTTGTTATTATATTATTGATTATAATTTGAAAAAATGCATCATATCTTATTTTAGAGAACTATTTATCCAGTTTGAGTTATTTCCATTTGCACAGAAAATATTACATGTATTATGGATAAAATTAACCAGTGTTTCATTTCAACATAAATTAAATATATATATAGGGTTCTTTCAAATGCTGAATTTAAACTCTATTTAGATATTAGATTTTTAGGCCCAGTTTTCAAGTTGGTCCAAATCAGGGTCCAAAGGGTCCTAGATTAAACTTTTGTCTGATTTCATCAAAAATTGAATTCTTGGGGTTCTTTGATATGCTGATTCTAATATGTACTTAGATTTTGGATATTGGACCATAATAGGTATTTAAATGTCCAATTTCAAATATATCAGTTCTTTGACTACATTCATTTTGTGTCACAAACCTATGATGTGTCAAATATTCAATCACAATCCAAATTCAGAGCTGTTTTAAGTTTAAATGTAGTGTCCATACTTGCTCAACTGTTCAGTGTTCGACCTCTGCAGGAAAATCCCGTTTGCTGTCTCTCTGACAGCCTCTTGTTCAAATTAGTCTACATTAGGGTCCAAAGGGTCCAAAATGAAACTTAGTTTGATTTTAACAAAAATTGAATTCTTGGGGTTCTTTGATATGCTGAATCTTTAAGTTCTTTGACCACATTCATTCTGCGTCAGAACCTATGCTGTGTCAAATATTTAATCACAATCCAAAGCTGTATCAAGCTTGTATGTTGTGTCCATACTTGCTCCAACTGTTCAGGGTTCGACCTCTGCGGTCGTATCAAGCTGCGCCCAGCAGAGCATTTTATTGTTATATATGCTTGAAGATATTGATCTGATAATTTTCATGATTATTGTATACATGTAGTTTTAATATGACAAGTTGCATATCGAGTTCAAATTTTGTTTCAGTTCAGATGATTTTTTTTTATAGCAGAAACTGTTTAGGACAAATGTAGGAATTATGGTCCAAAACAAGCATTTTTCATGTTTCATGGCAATAAATTGTGTATAAGTGTAGGATAACTATAAAATTGTACTACTTAATAGGTCATTTGTAGGTTCCATACCTCAAAAGAAGGTTTGGATTAATTTTTGGGGTAACAGACTAAACCATGTAAACCATTTAATAATTTGGGGCCAAAAAAAAAGAAGGATTTTCTGGTTTCAAAACATTTAAGTCTTGAATAATACACATTGTACATCATTTGTATATGTTCATACACCTGAACTAATATATAGATAAAAGAAGATATGGTATAATTTCCTTTCACCCAAGATTAAATGACATACATGTAGAAGTTAACATAAACTACAGGTCACAGTTCATCCTTCAACAATGAGCAAATCCCATACAGTCTAAGGGGAAATTGTAAATAATCAATTTCAAATGGTTACAACTTGAAAACTAATTTAATAATGACAAGGGGTCTTCAGTTACTGTTGTAAGACTACAATGGGATGACCTGCTTTTAGTTTAAACTACTGGACCAAATTTAATAAAATCATTAAAGGGTATCTAATACTATTAATTATGATTTTCAAAACAACAGTGGATACAGTTGAGTGACACAGGCTCTTGAGAGCCTCTAGTTGATATTTGATAGTACAATTCTAAGTTTAATATAAATACATATAGCAAGAAATACATGTATATTATAAGCTAATTGTTTGCAAAACTCTTTGAATAGTATTGCGTCCACAAATGTACTGTTTTCTCCCTTTCAGCAGTATTACAAGGTATGGGCAGAGGAGTTGACTATTGATAATGACTGATACTGGAATTAATGAAGTAACCTACATGTAGTGTCCAATCTCTATGTGGAGTTTGCCTATCAGACAGTCCATTTTTACATGTACCAAAAAATGTACGTTGACAGCCAATGCTAAGTATTAATCTTAAACATATATTCAATGATTGTATGTGCATCTCTGATACATATATTTCGCTGTTGTGTGGCTTTATTTCTGATCAGAGACTGATAAAAATCAGATTATCCTTTATTTTAAGTTCAAATATTATGTACTAGTAACTACATGTACTCAATGTCTTGCATTCATTTAACTAATAATGATGATGTAGCATCCAACAAAAAGTATATCTTTTTGACCTTCATTTTATGCCTCACTGATTATGTATATGTATGAATTCTGTCAGATTGTGGTACTTAAAAAAAGTTTTGAGTGTTTTGCACATATACTTTGTCATTGGACTTTAAATAAATTTGATTTCTGATAATGGGAGAGTGTTTTGAACATTGCTTCATAGTGATGATCAGATTACCTTTAATCAATATATATACAATGTACATGTACACTGCTACTGTAAAATAAAGTTTCCTAAATATTGCACTAATTTTAAAGTAACAAAATAGTACTGAATATTAAAAGTAGATTTCCAGTACTACATATGTTTGGTACAGAAATAGTACCTATGCAAAAGTAGCTGTGTATATAAATAGAATTTAATTGTTGCAGATTGATAATTTTTAGTAATTTGAAAATAAGGAGATGTGGTAGGATTGCCAATAAGAAAACTATCATGATCAGCCACGGTCAAAATGAAGGGGATGTAAGCAGTTTTAGGCCACTTTAAGACCTTCAACAATGAACAGAACAATACTGTTTACTCAGCTGTTAAAGATCCTGACAAAATGCGCAACAGTTCAATCTAGAAATTTAGTACTAGTCATTTTGCTAGTGATGTTCACTTATTGGTTAAAAGAAAAATTAATTGTTTTCTCTCTTGGTGAATATTTTTATGCCCCTGCCGTAACGGTGGGGGCATTAAGTTTTACCCTTGTCCGTCTGTACGTACGTCCCAAAATTGGTTTCCGTTCTCTAACTTAAGTTTGCCTCAACCAAATGTTATGAAAATTATACACAATTCTTATTACCACAAAACACAGATCAAGTTTGAATTTTGGTGGCGTCACTTTAACCGTTCTAGAGTTATGCCCTTTAGAAATGGAAAAATTGCAAAAGTTTTAGTTTCCGTTCTCTAACTTAAGTTTGCCTCAACCAAATGTTATGAAACTTATACACAACTGTTCTAGAGTTATGCGTGTTTACAAATAGAAAAATTGCTGAATTTTTAGTTTCTGTTTTCTACTCAAGTTAGCCTCAACCGAATGTTATGAGACTTACATACAATGCTTATTACCACAAAACTCAGATCAAGTTCAAATTTGGGTAGCATCACTTTTACCGTTCTTCAGTTATGTCCCTTTATAACTATATGATATGCAAGCAGGGGCATCATCTGTGTCCTCATGTGGACACTATCAACATTTATTTAAAACAATTGCCTGTGTGAATTTGACATATATCTAAATGAATTTTCAGTTGTATTGCCATGTTTTTATTTGGAAAACAGTTCATCAGCATGATCAGGTTCAGGTCTTATATTTATAATAATCACTGGAATTTAAATTTTCAGAATTAGCTCTCCAGATGTAAGTGGAAGTGAAGTTATACATGTTATATGTTTCGATGAAATGAATGACTTGATTAGATATACATGTAGTGGAGACCCTATAGATACAGTACATGTAACTGGTATGTATTTGTTACAGTATTTGCTGTCAAAATTGTATAACAAAAATGCCGAATCCTGTGCAAATTTAAAAAGGAGTCCACGCAAACTGACAAAATAAAAAAACACTATCAATCAACAGATCAAGGGAAAAGTTAATCTGCTATATATACATGTATGGAATAGGCATGTAGTTAGATTTGTTTACCCCTTTTCAGTCCATGTAAATTTATGAGAATAGAATATTATATTCTGGATTTCCTTAGATTTCAATTCTTATTTCATATTAATATTCCCAGGTGTATATATGTTATGCTTGTAGTTTGAGGAAAATTATCAAAATAGCTTGACCAAGATTAAACAATAACTGCTATCATGAATTAGGCCATTTTTGTCTTGTCTGCAACTGATTGTATGGTGTACATGTCTGTCTGGGCAGGGTTCATCTTACCATGACCTGATATTCATAGTTCATTAGTCAATAATAAGTTTCATATTTTGGTCTGTTTGCAGAGGCGGATTTAGGGGGGCAGGGGGCCTCCCCCCTTCCCTGTTCTGGGAAAAATTTGGTTGATTATATAGGGAATCACTGAAGCTTGACCAGAGCGGGCCCCTTCTTAGGCAGTCAGTGGGCCCCCACTTATGAAAATTTCTGGATTTGCCACTGTGTTTGTTGTATACTATACAAGCTATAATCAATTAACAGATCAGCTATATTCAGTCAGAGCTCTGACATAAACAAGTCAGAATAAAATGACTTCCATAGGTCAGATATAATTTGATGTAAGTGTTGTCTCCCTTCTTGCACTCAACAGAATATGACTTGTACAGGTCAGTTTATGTCAGACTTTAATTTATCATAAAATGACTTCCACAGATCAGCTTTTGCACAAAATGTTGTGACTTAATATCTTCATATTCTAATAAGATTTATGCCCCTTTTTAATGCATTTTGACTTCGAGAGGTCATTTTTGTTCTGATTTGAAGCAGTCATTACTACCACTTTGTTATCAATCTCCATAAAAATATGGTGATAACTAGTTTCGAATTAAAGAGTTTTAAAAAGTGGGGCTCATCTGACATCATACCTTCTCCTTTCCAGAATCTAAACATAATATATTTATCTCATCACTTTCAATTATTTCAAAATACAAAGAAAAACCAGGTGAGAAAAAATGGATCATACAATTTTCTGAATATCAAAAGATTTACAAAATACAATATTGGATACATTTACTAGTACCATGACATTACTTCAAATCTTCCAAGGAAAAACAAGACACTTATTCATGATAAGACTATGTTAATAAAAGATATATTCTCATCCACTTTAAGCTAAATGTATTAAGAGCAAAACATTTATTATTTTAATATTTCATTGAGGTAAATACTGTTGTGCAAACTGACTCAAACAAGTCACATTATGTTCTGACTTACTAAACGTATTACAACTTTTAAGTCTAGTATTGTCATATTGATTTAAAAATGTATAGGTAAGCCAGATAAAAGACTGAGGAAATTAGGTCCCCATAAGTCACAATAATGAGGACTATAAAAAAGTTTATTTGGTATATTCAATATTAAATGTATTTTGTTTTAAACAGGTCAAATCATGTTCTGACTTAAAAGAGTCAGTCCAAAACTAAAATAAATTTATTGAAATATTTAAGCCGGGCATTGCCATGATATTAAATGAATGTATGGGAACGTCAGATAAAAGACACAGGAAATATATGTTAAGATCCCCTAAAATAAATAACCATTTGACTTAATTGTTTCTAAAAACTTATCAAATGATAAACTCGAAAATGGCAGATTCAGAAGCAGTCTGAAAGCAAGGACTTTCTTCGATTAAAGGAAGTACACCTAGCTTTGATTGGAAATTTTGTTCTGTAAACTGACTTTAACAGGTCAAATCATGTTCTGACCTCAAAGAGTCAGTCAAAACTAAACTTATTACAACTTTTAAGTCTAGTATTGTCATATTGATTTAAAATGTATGGGAGAGCCAGATAAAAAACAGAGGAAATAAGGTCCCCTAAAGTCACAATAATGAGGATTATATAAAAAAAGTTTATTTGGTATATTAAATATTTAAATGTATTTTGTTTTAAACAGGTCAAATTATGTTTTGACTTCAAAGAGTCAGTCCAAAACTATACTTTAACTAATTATTGCAACTTCTAAGTCTGGAATTGTCATATGCATTTAAGAATGTATGGGAAAAACAGATAAAAGACACCCAATAATAAAGTCACAATAATGAGGACTATAAAAAAGTTTGTTTGGTATATGTAATATTCAAATGTATTTTGTTTACAAGTTTCATCAAATCATCTTAAAATTTTATTCTATTTCTGTATTTTCATGACTTTTTCTTTTCTGTTAAGTTAATAACACATTGAACTTTTGGTTGTAAAAAATATTATTTTAAAGACCATTTGACTGAATTGTTTCTAAAAAAACTTATCAATTAACATGATTAATTAACTCAACAGTAGCAGATTCAGATAAAGGGAAAAAGGGGGGGGGGGGGGCTTAGAGGAAGAAGACCTAGTTTTGATTGGAAATTTTGTTCTGTAAACTGACTTTAACAGGTCAAATCATGTTCTGACTTCAAAGAGTCAAACAAAACTAAACTTATTTCAACTTTTAAGTCTAGGATTTTCATATTGATTTTAAAATGTATAGGAAAGCCAGATAAAAGCCAGATGAAATAAGGTCCCCTAAAGTCACATTAATGAGGACTATAAAAAAGTTTATTTGGTATATTCAATATTAAATGTATTTTGTTTTAAACAGGTCAAATCATGTTCTGACTTAAAACAGTCAGTCCAAAACTAAGTTTATTGAAATTTTAAAGTTGGACACTACCATATGATATTAATGAATGTATGAGAACGTCAGATAAAAGACATAGGAAATATATGTAAGATCCCCTAAAATAAATAACCATTTGACTTAATTGTTTCTAAAAAATTATCAAATAATAAACTCAAAAATGGTAGATTCAGAAGCAGGGCTTAAAGGAAGTACACCTAGCTTTAATTGGAAATTTTGTTCTGCAAACTGACTTGAACAGGTCAAATTATGTTCTGACAAATTGACTTAAACAGGTCAAATCATGTTCTGACTTTAAAAAATCAGTCAAAAACTAAATTTATTGAAATTTTTAAGTCAGGCATTGCCAATGCCATATGATATTAATGATATGTATGGAGAAGTCATATAAAATACACACGAAATACATGCAAGATCCTCTAAGATAAATAACCATTTGACTTAATTGTTTCTTAAAACTTATCAATTAATAAACTCAACAGTGGCAGATTCAGAAGGGGACTAAGAGGAAGAACACATAGCTTTGATTGGAAATTGTGTTCTGTAAACTGACTCAAGCAGGTCAAATCATGTTCTGACTTATAAGAGTCTGTCAAACACTAATGGATTGCAACTGTAACAGTCGGGCATTGTCATGATTGTGATGTGATTGTTAGAATGTATGGATACAAGTAGGAAAAAAGATCACAAATATTAAGTCACAATTTTTAGAACTATATAAAATAAAATTGAGAATGGAAATGGGGAATGTGTCAAAGAGACAACAACCCGACCACAGAACAGACAACAGCAGAAGGCCACCAACAGGTCTTCAATGCAGCGAGAAATTCCCGCACCCGGAGGCGTCCTTCAGCTGGCCCCTAAACAAATATATATACTAGTTCAGTGATAATGAACGCCATACTAAACTCCAAATTGTACACAAGAAACTAAAATTAAAAATAATACAAGACTAACAAAGGCTAGAGGCTCCTGACTTGGGACAGGCGCAAAAAATGCGGCGGGGTTAAACATGTTTATGAGATCTCAACCCTCCCCCTATACCTCTAGCCAATGTAGAAAAGTAAACGCATAACAATACGCACATTAAAATTCAGTTCAAGAGAAGTCCGAGTCTGATGTCAGAAGATGTAACCAAAGAAAATAAACAAAATGACAATAATACATAAATAACAACAGACTACTAGCAGTTAACTGACATGCCAGTTCCAGACTTCAATTAAACTGATTGAAAGATTATGTCTTCATCATATGAATATCAGGCACAATCCTTCCCGTTAGGGGTTTAGTATCATACCATCATAACATATATGAGAAGAACATAACCCGTGTCATGCCAACAACTGGTTTTTAAATAAATGTGTTTAGTGCCGATGCAAAGACTCTATAAGTGAATCAATATTAACGCCAAAATATGCAGTTTATTTGGTATATATTTGATATCTTAATATTTCATTGAGGTAAATCCTGTTGTGCAAACTGACTTGAACAAGTCACATTATGTTCTGACTTCAAAGAGTCAGTCAAAAACTATACTTTTACTAATTATTGCAACTTTTAAGTCTGGAATTGTCATATGCATTTAAGAATGTATGGGAAAATCAGATAAAAGACACCCAATAATAAAGTCACAATAATGAGGACTATAAAAAAGTTTATTTGGTATATTTAATATTCAAATGTATTTTGTTTACAAATTTCATCAAATTATCTTAAAATTTTATTCTATTTCTGCATTTTCATGACTTTTTTTTCTGTTAAGTTAACATATGGAACTTTTGGTTATAAAAAATATTATTTTAAAAACCATTTGACTGAATTGTTTCTAAACAAACTTATCAATTAATTAACTCAACAGTAGCAGATTCAGATTAGGGGGGGGGGGGGGGGGGGGCTTAGAGGAAAAGACCAGTTTTGATTGGAAATTTTGTTCTGTAAACTGACTTTAACAGGTTAAATCATGTTCTGACTTCAAAGAGTCAAACAAAACTTAACTTATTACAACTTTTAAGTCTAGTATTGTCATATTGATTTAAAAATATATAGGTGAGCCAGATAAAAGACAGAGGAAATAAGGTCGCCATAAGTCACAATAATGAGGACTATAAAAAAGTTTATTTGGTATATTCAATATTAAATGTATTTTGTTTTAAACAGGTCAAATCATGTTCTGACTTAAAA